CTGAACCGTTTTGGTTGAGTTCATTTAAGCTGGTTTAGAACGCGTAGTCACATGCTTTTCCCTAAAATAAATCCCTTTGATTACTTGGAAGCTCTTGACTCTTGCTAGTACGCAAAAGCACCGCGTAGTCAGATATTTGTTGTGCTCTGTAAATGTTCAGGCTAATTGTGTTCCTGCATTAGTGGCAATTTTGGGATTAGAAACATGGCAAGAATCTCTGTGCAAGTAATTTTGTAGCTCTTCAGTACTGTAATGTTCTAGGCTGCCATATTTAGGATAGCTAAATAGGGAGGGTGATTTGAAAGAAATACCCTTCAAAATATGGATCAGAATTGCATGTATATTTGTCTAGGACATGCAATAGAGTTAATTTATAAAGAAAATAATAGTAGTGGTATAATTCTTCAGAATGAAGAACATCGGATTTATAGAGATTAGAAAAATGGACTAATTCAAGACTGGCCATCAAGGTTGTGCTTTTACATAAATATTTCTCAATAAGTTGCTTAGTTATGTGGCTGACTTTAAGCCTGGGAATATAGTCTTGAAGTTGATTCATTTTCTTTGTGCACTTGGAGGTTGTAGGTACAGACACGCGAACTGCGGCATCTCTCCAGCTCCCTAAATGTTCTCCCCCATCTGCCGGGTGGCTGTGGAGCAGTTAAATGCTGAGCGGTGCAGGTTACACTCGTGCATTGCAGAACCTTCACACGCAGCCTTAAGACGTGTAACTTACGTGTAAGGTGTGCTCTGATGAGTAATGAGCAGCGATCAGATATCTGTCAGCAACAGCTGCCGGCGGGACTGTCCGTCTGGACATGTCAAGGTCTCCTGTGAATTTGCACGGCTGCTTCCCCGCTGCTTCCTAAAATGTGTCGTCTTCTAAGGGTGCAGGGTGCCTGGATTTCATGTTAACGTTGTAGAGAATTTTGAGAGGCAAAACTTGATGTAGGAATTTGAATTGGATTTGGTTAGATCATGAACTGAATGTTTTGCACAGAAGTGAGGGGAAATATCAGTCAAAATTTTTCTCCTGTAAGGAGAAAGCACTGTCAGCACAGTGCTCCCCGGGGGGTTGTCCCACACCCCAGAAGATCACTGTCTGCGTGATCCCTGGTGCCACCTGAAGTTGGCAATTCAGCCCTGATCCGCGAAGATGTGCCCTGCCAAAGCCACCCTGGGCAGCGCTGAGCTGAGACTCCTGGGGCCCGGCCAGATCGGGCTCGTGAGAGATCCTCGAGGGGGTTCTGCTCCTTGCCTTGGGCCATCACATCCTGGCTGGTCTGAGTCATTCATTCAACACGTCAGCGGCTCTGATGGCACGGCAACGTGTAGAAAGCTGTGTCCAAAGCCAAGGTGGGGATCGCCAGCCAGCAGTCGTGTGTGCAGGACCTGCGGGACACGCTCCTGTTTTATCTCCTCACCTGTACCCAGCAACCATCTGCAAGATCCAGATGTGACTTGATAATATTTGAAATTGAAGTTGCAAAGATAAACATCTGGAAACGTCGTGGAAATCTGCAGTCCCTTGAGTAGGGGACATGATTCCCAAGCCCCCTGGAAGCCAGCCACGTGAGGAAGAGGGCCCTGGGAATGCGCAGCTCTTGCCAGGTCATTAGAAGCTTTAGGTCATGGTTGGACTTACTGTGGATTTCAGGGAGACGTAGCTGATTCTGGTGTTTTAAAATAGACTTTAAATTTACTTTTTATATTTTATACATAGACATATAACAACTTTATACTTTAAAATACACTTAAAAATCACAGACAACTTTGTAAGCGTGTTTTATTTCATGTCTGGCCAAGCTCGGTGGCTAAATAAAGCCCAAATCTGCAGTGAAGCTTTTGGAAATCATATGTAGGTTGTTGGTGTCTAATAAGAAGTGGACCCATGGTAAGGTTTAGCCCAGGCACTGCATCAGTGATTTGCTGTTTTCTTTTTTTTCTATGCTACCAAAAGCCTATTTTTGTGAAAACTACGAGAGACTTGATTGCTTAAAGAGCTCGAATTCTGTAACATTGATTGAAATCAGCCAAGGGGTTCAGAGCTCGTGGTGTGGCCGGGCAGAGATAGTCACACCGTGATGTATTTCCTTGGGTGTTCAAACAGAATATACACGTGTGTCTGCTGCTGTCACCAGAAAGAGCTCGGAGCCCTTCATGGGGCAGGATGCGATGGCTAAAGTGGATGGTGGTTGGGGTTGTGGAAGACGCAGCATGAAGGGACTCAGTATGTTGTAACCTAAGCTATGAATAAACACTTGGTTATTTGGCTTCCACCTGTAGGTTTTATCTCTGCTCTAAGAAAGACCTCATTTTTTGGATACTTCTGTGCTTTTGAGTCTGAGTGCTAGACCCAGGAAAGTCTTACTGCCAAAAAAAGTGTCTCACTGCTAACGCAGAATGGTACAGCATATGTAGGATCTGGGCCCAAAGCTAGGCTTTGCTATACCGATAGCTTTCTATGTATCTATATGAGGGAAGGGGAACTCACCTGCAGTTGAAGCAGCCTAAAACCAACTCATTTTTGACACTGCAATTTGGTCTCTAGAGCGCTAGGAAAAAGCAGTGGTGTCAACTAACTACGTGCGGAAACAATTGGGCCATTCAGTGATCACAAAACCACAAGAAGGGGGAAAAGAAATGCAGAAGTGTGCTTAACTGGAGAGAGGAAACGGGGTGATACAGAGCAGTACCAGCTCCTCATGTGCCTGGAGCAGGGAAAGTGCGGTGGGAAGGGGCCTGGGCAGGGGCAGGAGGAGCAGCACCCATGGGGCGGTGGCTGGGGAAGCAGGAACGGACTCTGGGTGAGCTGAGGTGGGGCTGACTCGTGTCTGCTGCCTTTGTAACAATGCTCCTTTGTGGCTGAGTTTGACCTGTGAATTAATGCTGCGAATTTTTTTACCTCTCCCTTTTCTTTTCTGCCTTTCTTTTCCAACAGAACCCATCACATAGTACTGTTAGCACCAAAAAGAAGCACTAGGTTTTCGCTGGCCTGTCTCGCGCGTGGTGCTGCGTGCATTGATTTAATGTCCCTGGCCTTTTACACTGAGTTCTTCTAACACGTCTGTTGTCACAGTATCTGGGTAACAGCAGAGGATCGTAGGGCAGTGACACGATTTGAGTTGTTCGCGTTATTTACCTGGTTGTTTGTAGTATTTACATTCATAGCTAATTATTCTAGAGCTGTGAGGTTGGGAAGGGGAGATGTGACACTGCTGTCAGCAGACTCGTGCTGCCAGCCTGGATGTGCACCGGGAGCTGAAGCTTTTGCCTTTGATGCAGCTGGGCACTGTCCTGTCCTGCTGCCAGGGTGAAACAGAGGGTGCTGTCACCCCACTGCTGTGTTTGGATACCACCTTCATCAATCCCACAACTTAATCCTTCTCATCCTATGACGATACCCAGGTGGGGCCAACCCGCTGCTTTGGTTGGCAATGGGCAGAGGTCATGAACTGCACACCTGGGGGAACCAGTGTTTTTTGCTACTGTGACAAGAGAAAAATGCAGTCAGTTAAGGATTATTGGGTTCCTGTCCCCCAGTAATTGCACCTGATGGGATTAGGTGGCTTTATCCACAGTCCTGGTGAATGAGGCAGGGAAGTGGGGTTCTATCACATTTTCATACTAAATAGATTTTTTTTTTTTCACATCCACTGGTTTTAATTATTTTTTACAGCACTGCCTGGCTGGCAGCTTTGCATCCTGCCTGTCCCTCTTGCCCTGGCTTCTTTGTTTGATACTCGGGGCAGCGGTGTCTTGGGGACATGCAGCCCTGCTCATCGTCTGCCACTGGTGTAGCGGGGGTTTGCACAGCCCCATTCTCTCTTGAACTGACTGCACTGGGATGTGTTGGTCACCCAGGGCTTGGCTCCACTCAAACCTTGCGTGCCCCCAGACACGGCCACCGGTGCCTCCAGACGCTCTCAGCAGCCTCTGGCTCCGCTCCGGGGCTGGTTTATGGCTCTGCCCTGGCACGAAGCCCCAGCTGAGCTCTGAATCGCAGCGTGACAGGGACACGGCAGTGCCTACGAGCCCCCACAGTGGTATCCGTGCCACCCGTTAAAGCCAGGTGGGGTTGGCGGGTTTGATCACACCACGAGCCCAGAGGGATGACGTTGATTGTGCCGAACGGGCTGAAACCAGGCAGCCTGAAGAGCTGGTGTGAAACCTTGTGTTAAGGGTAAGCACGTGTGCCCCCCAGAAGTGGGACCCCTATCTCTGCTGCCCGAAGACCCGCTGTGCCATGTGGCTTTTACCATCCTGGTGGCCCCAGTGCTGCTTAAGAGACGTGTAGAGGACTGGGGATTTACTGGAGGGCAGTGGCTGCTCTGACCTTGACCCACGGAACCACTGAGCCCCCTAAACCTGCGAGACTTTTTCCAGAGTTCCTCTCCCAGGGGGTTAATGCAGCGGCAGTATCAGCAGCAGCCTGCTATGTGCAAGGTTGTCCAGTCCTAGGAGAAGGTCTCCAATGTCACGCTGATCGTGTGTCAGCCCTGCTCGCTGGGTGGGCAGGCGGGGATGGAGCACCAGCTTCACCAGCTCTACGTGAGCAGGGATGTGAGGGTATTACAGGGGTCTCTGAAACTTTATTTGGTGCTAGGAAGCCTTGTCACCATTTTATGGAGAGGGATATAGGAGTATGGTGAGGAACTCGCCTAGATCCCTGAGCATCTCCAGTGATGCTCTTTGGCTCCCAGCTCATGCCCAGACCCCCAGCCCACACTGCTCACTTTATTTTTCCTAACAGAGCTTCACACTCTGCTAAGAAACTTGGCAATGGCCCCTTGTTCTGGCACGCTGCTCCCCATGGATGGCCATAGTCTGCTCAGTCTGCACCATCTGAACTCTTCCTTTTTTTTTTTTTTCAGTAGGGAACACCAAATATTTGCAGAGAGCCCGAGATCCTGTGTGCTATGGGGTGGGAAGGGGCTGATGGGGGGCAGCTCACCCTGGGGCAGCAGCTGCTGCCTGCTCGGGCGCTTCTTGTCTTTCCTGGCCCCCAGCGCTGTAAGTTAACACCCCACAGGCAGGTCCAAAGAGGATTTCAACGAAACCTGAAGCTTGGGAGGAGAGATTATGCTGCAGAAGTGTCCTGGGAGACTGTAAAATATGCACTCCCACAATCGCCAAAGAAGGAACTGGATTTGCTCTCCAGGAGCAGGGTCATCCCTGGCCTCAGTAACGGCATCTGAGGAGGGAGATGAATGCTTTGGAGACAGGTCACCCCATTCTGTCTCAGCCCAGCCCTAGTGAGCCTGCTTGGGAGTGCTTACTCTCCCAAAATTTGCTATCTGCCAGTAGGTCGCTGCTTAATGAAACCTATGTTCAGGATAGATGCCTATGAAAATAGCTCCAGCACAGCTGACCTTTCACTTGCGTGGAGCAATACCCAGGAGAGTGAAGGAGTGAGGTGGCCATTTCAAGGGTGTTTGTGTTTCCCCAGCACCCCTTGCCCTCTCCTGCGGGGTGCTGGTGTGGGGCGAGGTAGCCCGTTCAGTGTTCTGTGATGCCAGGAGCAGAGCAGAATGCTGCTTTTGTTTTGGCTGATTTGCTGGTTTCTGAGGCACCTGCATCTACAGACCAAGGAGAGCCGGGCTGGGGAGATGGCTCATCATCACCAGGGATGTGCTGACCCTCACAGCCTGCCAGAAAAATCAAGAGCAGTGGTGTCCAGTTCACTCTCCTGAGCCTGCAGATACGCAGACCTGGAAGGGGCCTGGAGAAGGAGCGATATGCTTTTCCCAGTCCTTCAAGATGTCACTGCCAAGGTGCTGCTGGGTTTTAGCAGCATCGCCTACCAGAGGTGCAGCCCTGGCCATGGTGAACATGATCCTTTCTCTGTCCCCCATCATATGACACTGTGTGCCCTCTTGAGCTAGGTCTGGAGGAGTGTGGTAGGGCGGTGTTTTGGGGGCAGAGCTGGAGGAACCCCATATAGACCTGCTCTGCTCCTCTCCTCCCTCTTTTTGCTCACCTCTTGCTTCACGCAATGTAGCACCAGCCTTGGTCTTGGGACCACAGAGGAGCTGTATGTCAGGGCCAAGCAGGTACTGGGACACCCGTGCTATGGCCAAGTGCCCGTCTTGGGGGTGTAGAGCTTGTGAGTGATCAACTGCAGAATGGGCTGAAAAGCACTGTCACCGAGCCAAGCAGAGCTATGTCACCAAGCTTCTGTGTCTGCTGGGGCTGCCGCCACCCTCTTAGCACAGCCCAAACTCCAGTCTTGTGGGCCTGCCTCCCACTCCCTGCTCCGGATGTAAATCAGGATCTTGTCTGTTAAATGGCTTTGGGTTTGCACCAGTGTCCCCTGGTGCCTAAGCCCCTTTCCAGTGAGCTGTCGCTCACCAGAAATGGCTCTTGGGCTTGTGTTCTCTGCCCACCATTCCCTGAGGACTGCTGTTTTGCATGTGGTGAGCACTCAGCAGAGTTGGGGCCCCTCTCTTTGAGGAAAGGTGGGTATATCTGCTCTAGGGCTATCCTGCAGCCCACCTGCCTTTGCCAGCTCACCCAGGAGCAAGCTGCCTTTTCACCCCCTCCCTCTTCTCTCCCACAGGCACGTACCAGGGCCAGTTCACCAACGGCATGCGGCACGGCTATGGTGTGCGGCAGAGCGTGCCCTATGGCATGGCCTCCGTAGTCCGCTCCCCCCTGCGCACCTCGCTCTCGTCCCTGCGGAGCGAGCACAGCAATGGCACCCTGCCCCAGCAGGACTCCCCCGCCGCCAACCCCGAGAGCTTGCCCCTCTCGCCCACCATCACCCGTGGGGGCTTCGCTCTCAGCCTCTATGCGGAGGTGGAGGCTGGCAAGCCCAAGAAAGGGGGGCTCTTCCGCAGGGGCTCCTTGCTGGGGAAGCTAAAGAAGTCCGAGTCCAAGTCGTCCCTGGCCAGCCAGAAGAGTCGTGTCAGCTTCCTCAAGAGTGAGAGTGGGATCAGCTCGGCTGCCAGCGATGCCACCTCCACTGTCAGCCTCGGTGAGGGTGCTGAGGGCGAGGAGTACCCCCTCTTCGAGTCCGACATCGATGCCACCACCACGGAGACCTACATGGGTGAGTGGAAGAACGACAAGCGCGCTGGCTTTGGCATTAGCGAGCGCTCCAGCGGGCTGAAGTATGAGGGCGAGTGGCTGGACAACCTGCGGCACGGCTACGGTTGCACCACGCTGCCCGATGGCAAGAAGGAGGAGGGCAAGTACCGGCACAACGTCCTCATCAAGGGCATGAAGAAGCGCGTGATACCCCTCAAGAGCGCCAAGATCCGGCAGAAGGTGGACAGGAGTGTGGAGGGGGCTCAGAGGGCTGCGGCCATCGCCCGGCAGAAGTCGGAGATCGCGGCATCCAGGTAAGTGCTGGGGGCTCCAGTGTGCATCGTGGTGGTGCTGGTGGTCTCCATCTCATGTGTCCCTCTGGAGCCGTGTTGCCGTGCCTCTTTTCCGCGCACCGGCGGCGGGGTCAAATGCAGGTCTCTGAAGTTTCTGTTTAATTCTTTGTACAGAATGCTGGTGGAGTGGCTCTGAGGGCCCTTGTAGCAGCTCAAGGGTATTCAAGACCTGTCCTCCCTCTTACCTCCTCTCCTGTCCCCCTGCAGACCAGGTCTAGAGGGGACCTGCTGGACAGCAAGGACTGGCTCTGGTGCTCAGCAGGATGGGGAGCAAGAGCTGATGGGATGGGGAGCACCCTGGTGCTGTACCAGGCTGCTGGAGCCCATGGGCATCCTTGACAGGGCAGGATGCGAAACAGCGGCATTTGGCTACTGTAAATCACAGCAGGCTGGTGAGCCACTGGCAGGACATGTCCCGGGCGCATCAAGTCTGCAGAAGAGCATGGCTTGGCCCTGGAGCCTCCGGGGGGACTCTGTGGGGAGTTTATGGCATGTATTAAGGTTGTCACTTAATTTTAGTGGCTCAGTGTAATGGATGCTCTGGGAAGAGCACTGCTGCGCTAGGGTGCTGTGGACTTGGAAGCAGGACTTCGGTGGGTACCAAGTCAAGGAGAGGGCTGCCTTTGGGAGCCCTGTCTTACCCTCCAGGTTTTGCAGGAGTGTTTCTACCATGAGGGAAATGGTGGATGGAGCCAGGGCGGGTGGCTGAGCCCAGTGCTGCAGCACACAGCCACATCCCGCAGCCTGCCCTGCGTTAGAACCCTGGGAAAGGAGGAAGTGGAGAGAGCTCAGCTGGATTTGTCCTCTTTTCTCCTTCTATACTGTCTTGCCCAGACCTCAGGGGTGGGAAGGGGGCTGCAGCAGCCAGCAGCATGCCTGGGGGTGCGTGTCACAGGGACATGTGAGGGAGGAGTACATGAGAGGCTGCAGTGAGCATGTGGCAGTTTCTTGTTGCACCAGTGTCCCTTGCACCAGTGCCGCCTGATATGTTGGGACTGGACGTAGGCTCGGCTCACAATTAACTGTGTTAGAAATCAGTGGGAAAGTTCAAATTGCTCCATTGTCCAGCTTGGGTTGGAGGAGGGAGAAGATGAAAGAGCAGCTCCAGGGTCTGCCCAGGAAGGGCAGGAGAAGACCACCTCCTCCTGCTCAAGTCCCTGCCCTGTCCGAGCTTTGCCAGCAGCACATTCCTCCTCCCACAGCGTTCCTGCCAGTCTCGGGGCTGGCCTGACAGAGACCAAAGATCATCAGGTGGGAGCAGACCCTTCACTTCTCTTCCTCAGAGAAACCTGCTTGTGACAAACCTCGAGGATTCACCTTGTCTCTCGGTCAAAATCTCTCCCTGTATAGGCTTTACTTAGGTGCTGGGCAGCAGTTGGGACCCTAGGACCTTGCTCTTTTTTAGTGCTTTTTAATTGTCATCTAACTGTCATTTACCAAGCAGAGATGGAAGATAACAGCAGAGATAGGATATAATAGGAATTCTTGTCTCCAAGAAACCTCAGCTTTACTCTCCTGGTGGCTGTTTCTGCTCCAAAGTTTTGTGGAGAGCATGATTGGATTTATTTTTTTTTTAAACAAAACCCAGTTGCCACAGAGACCATTGGAGAGGAACTGGTGGGATTGCAAGTGAAATAGTGTGCAGGGCCAACTAGGATAAAAATAACAGTCTGGAGTAGCTTGGGGCTTGTTGAAGCTTCCCGGCAGAGCAAGCTCAACCCAACACCAGCTTTGCCAAGCCTGCAAAAAGCCTGTGGCCGTGGTGCTACGCTCTTGTAAATAAGGAGGCTGGAGCTGTGAAAGCTGCTCCCTGAGAGCTTGGCTGGTTTACACAAGCCTGTTTTTATTATACACTATTTACACTTTGGATCAAAAGCGGCTCTGCAGTGTTTTCCATCAGGGGCTGGAATGCACTCGCTGCCCTGACGGGGGACTGCATCCCTCCCCAGCACAGCTGGGGAAAAATTTCCTATTAAGGAAACCTTGGAACTGGAGGAAATAAGATGTTAAAGCCGGTTTCCTCCAGGGAGTCTTCCCCTCGCAGACCATGTGATAGTGCTGCTTTCCCCAGCCCCGGTCCCGTTCCTGCAGCTGAGCTGAACCCGCTGCAAGGAGGAGAATTTGGGCTCTGTCTTGTAAACTACAACTCGCTGTTTCCATTAGTGTTTATTCCTGGTGTGTGTTGCTCTGGGCAGAGCCACTCTACCTCTGCCTTTTGAAAATCTGGCTCATGTTCTCCTTCTTCCTTTCAGCTCAGCGTGGGGTCTAGAGTAAATACAGATAATCTTGCCTTGAGAGGGTCGTTAGATTAAACCCCAGCTCTGCCACTGACTTTCTCATTGGCCTTGAACCTTGCCTCAGTTTCCACACCCAGAACAGAGAGTGATTACAGACAGATTATGAAAATCAATTATTATGGTTTACGAAAGGGCTGTACTATTATTATAGCATTGCCCCAGCTCGTAACCACAAGGTGGAGTTTTCTAGGTGGAATATTTCTCTTTCTCCTCAGCTGACAGTGTGTACCCTACTGAAAGAAATGTCTCTGAGGCTACACGAATCCTTTTTTGAGGGAAGATGTGAAATATCTGTATGTAAAATTATTGCTAGGAACTAACTAGGATACAGCAGCCGAGCTGTGCTTGATTCCCTCTGTGTACCTGGGTTGTTGCACATGGATGTTTGAGTTTCATTTGCATCTGGCACTCAGGGGACCCCCTTGCAGAGCTCAACAACCGTTAACATCCAGCCTTCTGCTGTCCTGGAGTGCAATGTCAGAAAGAGACCACATTTCACTCATTTGCACCGTAAAAGTCTCTTCAGAGATAAAAATTCTGAGGAAAACAAGCCTATGCGCTGGAAGCTGCCTTGGCGGGTTGCACCGCATGAATCCCAGGTACGTGCCCAAGCTCCTGGGGTGCCGAGGCAGGAGGCTGGGGGCAGCAGGCTTCTGGCAGCGCTGGTGAGCACCCGACCTGTGACCTGCCCTGCGGAGGCATGCGGGAGAGCAGCAAGTCAGGAATGATGGTCAGCAAACTTGCCTTGTCCTGCGCTCTGCTCCTGAGGTGTCTGAGGCTGAAGGCTGCTTTGCAGCTCCTGTCCCACCTGCCTGCTCAGTTTGAGCTTTTCGTCTGAATTTTGGCTATTGCCTGCCCCACTGTGGGTTCTGCCTGAGCAGCACTGCCCTGGCCTCCTTCGCTGCCCAGTCAGCAATCCAGCTGCTTTCCCTGTTGTGCAAGAGGTTGAGGACAGAGCTGGCACTGCATCGGCCGAGGGAACAGTGATTTTTAAATTTAGTTTCATTCTTTATTATTTTTGGCGTGTGGTCATGGTGTCCTGAATAGCCCCTCACCCCAGACAAAGCCTTTGCTGCTGCTCAGATGTTGGGCAGAATTCTGGAGCCCGTCTGTCTGTAGCACTGGTATCAGCTAATAGGATGGAGCTAATGGAAGTTAAAGTATGATGAATCCTCGCCCAGACTGCTGTCACTTGGGAGAAAAGTCATCCTGAGGTGTGCAGCCTCTGAGGCATCCAGAGGAGATGGCTTTACTCCTGCCCAGGGATAACCAGAGTTGGACGTGGGGGTTCACACGTGTTCTGTGATGTCCATGAGCCGTGCCCCAAACTGCTGGTACCCTGGGACTGCCTTGCTATGATCTCAAGGGCTTCGTGCTGGAGCTGGAACTTGACTGTTCCCGTGGTGTCCCTCCAGCCTTCCCCTTTCCCACACTCCTGTCTGGGGGCTCCTTCAAAAAAGTGTTAGGGTTGGTGGGGAAGGTGCTGAGGTTCTGGAATGGCAGCCAGGACATCTTCTTCTTGAAGGTTAAGTAGACAAACTGGCTGGGAGACAGCCGGTAGGACTGTCTGCTGCCAGCCCCTGCAAGGAGAGGAGTATGTGCAGTATGTGCTTGCCTGTCAGGTGGGGAGGATGGTTCTGCTGAAAGCAGTGGTAGTGTGGAAGTGGTCAACTTTCATCTCTTCAGAACGGTTTAAAATAAAATACAAGAGGAAGGGCAGGACCGGCTGCAGGGGGTTACTTTGGTTTTTTTGAAAGCTGAGTTCTCAGTAGCCAGGCAGCTCGTACAGGGGATTTTCTTCTCATGGATGCTTCTGGGGGACAAAATGAGTGTAAATACTGCAAATGCCACATCTGTCCTGCTGCAACAGTGTCTGCCGTGGTTTGCCTCTGCATGTGATTATGCTTCTCCGTGACTTGGACCAAAATCAATGGAAGGACTTGGCCATGCGTCCTGCAAGGCGTGGGTCTGGCCACGCTCTTGAGTTCATTTGACAGGAGTACCTCCTGGTAATAAGACTCAGATATATCTGCCAAACATCATGGAAAACAAGATGATAGAGATGGTAATGGCTACTGTGCCTCACCTGTTTGTCTTCAGATGCTGGCCCTGAAGCCCCTGTGCAGCTGCATGGTTTATGCCTGGAGAGATCAGCTGAACAGGAATACATTTTGGATTTGATTTTGGTTTTAACATAATACATGTAAAGGTCCTGCAGTACTGCTGCTTAGATACATAGGTGTAAGAATTTCTAAACTACATTCTGAAATGTGAAGTTTAATTCTGTTAACATAGGGTTTACTTATCTTTGTGAGCCCGAGCTGTGTTAAAGCACCGCAGAGCTACTGTGAGCGCTTGGTGTCAGAAATCACGTCTGTGTGGCTTCCCCGGCAGTGGTGTGTGGTCATTCTTACTGTGAACTATTGCCTGGTTTTGAAGCTTAGGTTAGTTTTCCGACCATATTTGTGTCTCTTGAGTATGTCTTAGCTCTCCCTTCAAATAACAGCAGTGCTTGATGGCTCCTGTATCGCGTTCCGAATCTTCCTGCCCGGCCACATTCCCGGCAGCGCTGCTGCCGTCTCCCTGGGCTCAGCATTTCCAGCCTGCGTGGCCAGCGAGCGTCTCCTCGGGGAATGCGGGTGTGTGGTGCAAATGACGTCCTGA